AAGCCATGCCATGAGGGAGCAAAGCTATAAGAGTGGGGATGGCTGTTGTGTAGTAGAGGCTGGATCAAGCAGAGCCTTCTTAGACCATTTGAAAAAGTTTTAATTTTATTCCGAAGCAGTGGAAAACCACTGAAATGTGTGAAATGTGGGTGTGACTGAATCCTTCATGTTTGTGAAAAGGTGATTCTCATTCTTTCTAGAGAAGTATATAGAGAATGGATTCGAGGGGTCAAGCATGAGATGAGGTTAAGAGTGTCACAATAACATAGGATAGAGACAGTGGGCCTTCCCTGGGCCGGGGACGGCGGGCCTTCCCCTAGGCCGTTGGCATAGGAAATGGGAAGAATGAAATAGATTCAAGATACATTCTGGGGTCAGAATTGTCATGACTGATAGATTGGATGACGTGGATTAGAGAGAAAAGGGGGAAGGTTTTAAAATCTCATGTTTCTGGCTGGAGCATTGGGTTTGATTAGATGCGAATGAATCTTCCCATCTAACAAGTAGGTTTGGGGGCAGAAGTTAGTCATACTAAATTTGAAAAATGTTATTTAAAGAGAGCTTTTTGCTCATTGAAAACTAGTCTTCCAGTACACGAGTGTCAGAGTGGGGACACTCACAGCAGGAGCGGCTTTGAGAGACGTGGGAAGAGGAGAGGAGGGAGCCTGAACAGACAGTGGCGCCGGTTAGCAAAAGTCAGCGTCTGGAGGACGGCCCTGATTTAGTTTGTGACTTGACTGAAACAGTTTACACCTAGAAGCACAGGTACTGATGATGATTTTGTGAAGACGCAAAAGTCTACTTTACAGAATTACTCTCATGTGAGAAAATATTCTGAAATTGAGTTAATTTAACATCCAGAAAGTCCTATCATATTTAAAATTTATTTTTCCCGTGCATTTATGTTTCTGAATGACTTGGTGAGAAATAGGTCTGTGAGTGACTCACTGAACCCCCCGAAAAGTACTCACATAAGTAGATTTCCTTGTGCCAATCAAAGGACATTATTAAGGGAAGTGTCCTTTAGCCATGGCTAGTGGGGACATTTGTCCTTGAGTTGGGACGGTCCCATGCTCCTTGGACAGCGTCTGGTTACATGAGCAACTGACGGGTGGACTAGAATTCTTTTCACTGAGAAATAAAGCAAGATTCTTTGGTATGTTTGCCATCTCTCTCACCGCCCCCTCACAACATGGATAGTTTCTGTTCCTCTGCTTTTCCCCTTTTCGCATGTACTCAATGAGCTACTTATTTTTATTTCATTTTTTTTGGATAAAACTCTTGTGAAAGCTGAGGGAGAGGCTAGTATCTGTACCTCCATCATTTAGCAAATACCTGGTACCTCGTTGGTTTCACAAGTATTTGGTGAATAGTTTAATAAATATTTGCAGATTGGGTGAACGCCCTGTGTATAACATGGACACCCTGATTATATGACTTCCTAAAATCCCTTCTCATGCTGTGTCTATAAGCTTTCCTGCTATAACCTCAGAAACATAATACCTAACAAAAGCAACAACGATTATGGCTGCTTTAGCTAAGTGATGTGTCCTTCAATAGGGCATGTGCTTTAAGCTATTTCTTCTAAAGTTGAAAGTTTTGATTTTGTTTTCCTCCAGAGCCATCCTCATTTCATTAACTTTCCTTTCTGTAGCTAAGGGCAGCAGTTGGTGTCTGTGGTCAGGGAGTCTTCACTGTGTGTGAGAAAGGAACTGCTCTGCATGGTCGGTGTGGCAGTAGTGGAACGGCAGCAGCAATGATATCACTTGTTTACTGAGTACCTCATTTGTGCCAGGCATTATAATAGGTGGAAATACACTGTCGGCAAAGGTAAGGCCAGGTTCTCATAACAAAGAGACGTGTGATAATTGAGTATCTTCAAGGGAGATAGACATTTCTTTTTCACTGATAGTGTAATGTGTGTACCAGGTGGGTGGGTGACTCCACTCCATGCTGTTATTCACGGCCCGGATTCTTTCCATGGTGTTGCTCCACCGCCCCTCAGGCCTTCACAAGAAGTGGAAAAAGCCCAGCAGGGCCCGCCCAGTCTCAAGGCTTAGCTCCAGAAGCAGTTCCCAGCACTTTGACTTCCACTCGGTTGGAGAGAATTAGTCATGCAGCTGTGCCTGATTCCGGGGGTTGAGGGAGGAACCTGGAAACGTAGTTCAGGCCTGTGCCCTGGGAGCAAGGGAGAACAGATGCTGGTGAACACCTAGCAACATTCACCACATCCCGCAGTGTGGGGATTATTCTGTACACTTTCCAGATGAGGAATTAGAAGTTTGGGAGGTTGATGAACTCAACGTGCCCTAGATGGTCAGGTTGTAAGGGGGAGGTGCAGATTCTAATTCTGTTGTATCTGATTAAAAAGTCTGCGCTCTTTTCACCAGCGTGATACCACTGAACACTGTTGTCATAGAGCCGTGTGGGGTTCGCAGAGGAAATTCACGTATGTTAACTACCAGCGTGATACCACCGAACACTGTTGTCATAGAGCCGTGTGGGGTTCGCAGAGGAAATTCACGTATGTTAACTACCAGCGTGATACCACCGAACACTGTTGTCATAGAGCCGTGTGGGTTCACAGAGGAAATTCACGTATGTTAACTACCAGCGTGATACCACTGAACACTGTTGTCATAGAGCCATGTGGGTTCACAGAGGAAATTCATGTATGTTAACTTGCGGCTCCAGGAACAGGCCTCCCACCACCAGACTTACTAGCCCGCTAAGGTGTCTCAGGACGTGGTGTCAGAATGAAAATAGAGTGCAGTTCTAATCAATCAAAAACTGGTTTTCTTGCCTGCTGTTAGGAGAAAGGAGTTTGAAAGATGAAAACAGTCTTGTACCAGGGACTCACATTCTAGGGCATGGTCTGTGGTCAGCATACATTCAGATCAGTGCCTGCTTCATACTTGGTACAGTTGTAGGAGGCGCCAGTGGTGCCCAAGAAATGGCCAGATCAACAGTGACTACGGGTGACTAGACTCTGTACAGCATAGTGTTCGTGGAGTTTGAATCTTTTACTCCCCACATATGTAGCTGTGGACAAGTTTCTGAATCTTCCTAAATCTGAGATACCTTGTCTGTAAGGCAGGATTAATCTTCACAGAGTTGTTTTAAGTATTAGTGATCACATAAGCAAAGGGGCTCCCACAAACCAGCGTGCTGTTAAATAATAGCTGCTATTTTAAAAAAAAGTAAACCCAGCAACCATGAATTGAGTGACTGCTATGCACCAGGCACCAAGGTAGGCTCCAGAGATTTAGAGGTAAAAGGTGGAGTCCCTGCTGGCCTTCAAGGGACATCTAGTGGGGATGTCCCAGAGAGAAGAACAACCTAAGCTCAGTTTTTCCCTCAGGAAGAATAATGCATTCTAATCAGACTAGAGAGTGTGTGTTCTGTTAATAGATCGTATAAACTAAAATTGTACAATAGCCAGTTTGGGTGCAATGAGCTATTCAAATGACATGTTGACTTTTTAAAAAAATATATACTTAAAGTTCTGGGATATGTGTGCAGAATGTGCAGGTTTGTTACATAGGTATACACGTGTGATGGTGGTTTGCTGCACCCAACAACCCGTCATCTACATTAGGTATTTCTTCTAATGCTATCCCTCCCATTGTCCCACCTCCCAACAGGCCTTGGTGTGTGGTGTTCCCCTCCCTATGTCCATGTGTTCTCATTGTTCACCTCCCACTTATGAGTGAGAACATGTGGTGTTTGGTTTTCTGTTCCTGTGTTAGTTTACTGAGAATGATGGTTTCCAGCTTCATCCATGTTCCTGCAAAGGACATGAACTCATCCTTTTTTATGGCTGCATAGTATTCCGTGGTGTATATGTGCCACAGTTTCTGTATCTGCTCTATCACTAATGGGCATTTGCGTTGGTTGCAAGTGTTTGCTATTGTGAACAGTGCTGCAATAAACATATGTGTGCATGTGTCTTTATAGCAGACTTATTTATAATCCTTTGGGTATATACCCAGTAATGGGATTGCTGGGTCAAATGGTAATTCTAGTTCTAGATCCTTGAGGGATTGCCACATTGTTTTCCACAATGGTTGAACTAATTTATACTCCCACCAACAGCGTAAAAGTGTTCCTACTTCTCCACAGCCTCTCCTGCATCTGTTCCTGACTTTTTAATGATCGCCATTCTAACTGGTGTGAGATGGTATCTCATTGTGGTTTTGATTTGCATTCCTTTGACCAGTGATGATGAGGTTTTTTCATATTTTTTTGAGCACATGAGTGTCATCTTTTGAGAAGTGTGTGTTCATATCCTTCACCCACTTTCTGATAGGGTGTTTTTTTATTGTAAATTTAAGTTCCTTGTAGATTCTGGATATTAGCCCTTTGTCAGATGGATAGATGGCAAAGTTTTTCTCCCATTCTGTAGGTTGCCTGTTTACTCTGATACTTTTCTTTTGCTGTTCAGAGCCCTTTAGTTTAATTAGATCCCATTTGTCCATTTTGGCTTCTGTTGCCATTGCTTTTGGTGTTTTAGTCATGAAGTCTTTGCCCATACCTGTGTCCTGAATGGTATTGCCTAGGGTTTCTTCTAGGGTTTTTATGGTTTTAGGTCTTATGTTTAAGTCTTTAATTTATCTTGAGTTAATTTTTGTGGAAGTTGTAGGGAAGGGGTCCAGTTTCAGTCTTCTATGTATGGCTGGCCAGTTTTCCCAACATCATTTATTGAATATGGAATTCTCTCCCCAGTGCTTGTTTTTGTCAGGTTTTTCAAAGATCAGATGGTTATAGATGTGTGGTATTTCTGAGGCCACTGTTCTCTTCCACTGGTCTATGTATCTGTTTTGGTACCATTATCATGCTGTTTTGGTTAGTGTAGCCTTGTAGCATAGTTTGAAGTCAGGTGGCGTGATGCCTCCAGCTTTGTTCTTTTTGCTTAGGATTGTCTTGGCTATATAGGCTTTTTTTGGGTTCCATATGAAATTTAAAGTAGTTTTTTCTATTTCTATGAAGAAAGTCAACATTGACATTTTTATATGTTGTTTTAATAGTCTTTATGATAAATGTCAACAAAAATAATACTTTTTAGAGACATTTGGTTTTTACACACACTTAGAGAGAGGTAATAAAATCTCCCACTAATGCTAATAGCATTCTGATGGAGTGAAGACTTACTGGTGTGTCAAAAAGTAAGACACCTGCTCTTTTCTTAAAGTGGTTTGAATTTCAAAAGAGCATGAAGGAATGCTGTTGGTATTTATTCAGGAATTTGTGTGCAGATTTGATAGATACCATTTATCTTCAGCAGAGGAATCCGTATTCCTGGCCTTTTTCCCCCTTGGTTAGTTTGGATTTCCTCAAACCACTTTGCCCTTTGAAGGATTGTGAGCTGTTAAGTAAACGAACGGGTATGTTTCTGAGTTTGTGCTGACTGATTTGCAACAGGACGGCAAATTCAGCACTGAAAACAGGGTCAGACAAATACCCTGGCTATGAGCCTCAGCTGACTCAGACAAGCGAGGCTTTGCTTAGTGGTTTTTACCCCTCCAGTACAGAAAAGTCTTGGCTATAGCCTCAAAGGCCTGTGGATTGGAAGGTCTGGCAGAGCAGTATCCACGTCATTATTGTTAGAAGTTGTGCAGTTGTATTATTGTTGATGCTCTCATTAACACTGGCTATCTTGCATGTTCTAGCCGCTGAATAGTCATTAATTATTGTGGTTAATTCTCACAGGGAACCTATGTTAATTTTAATTGATCCTAGGCTCTCAATTTAAATAAGAAAGCTAGCAAAATTATTTTTTTTTTTTGCCTCCCCTTCTGGCTTAACAGAGAACTCACAAGTACTTATGTGTTGAGAAAATAGAGACCCATTTAATAGTGTTACCAGAGTGACACATTATTAACTAAGGAAATCAGAATGACATACTTTTCAGAGGCTGCCTTCACAGGACACAGTGGTAATCTCTGAAGCCTGCAGGTCTCAGTCCTGTGATGCAGAATATTATCAGTGATAGGAAGAGAAAGCCTTGTCTCCTCAACAGTGTACGGAGGCATCGTCCACCAGCACTGGGAGCTAAGCCTCCACTGGTGAACAGCACAGGAGAAAGACACAGGCCTGAGAAGGCTCAAATTTACAACACAGGAAAGACGAGGGCAGCACAGGATTATTAAATGGAATATGGGAAACGTGTGGTTTGTCTACAGTCTACACTTGTGACACAGGTACCATGATGTCCATTTTATGGAGGAGAAAACTCAGTTCCAGAAGGTTTGAATAACTTGTCCGGAGTCGTAAGATTAAAAGATGCCAGACCAGGGAGCAAAATTCATGAATATCTGACTTTAAAGTCCTTACATTTTCTTTACCTCACAGTGGTTTAGATGAGATGCATTGTTCATTGTAAATTGAATTTCCTTCACTACCTGCCTTTTTTCAATGTAATGTGAATTCTGCATCATTTTGTTGAAATGAAAAGTTCTAACCATTATTGTTGTAAAATGGGGGCACTTGGGCCTTGGAGGAGAGTTCTCATTCTGGTAGTCTGGTAAAGGGCCTCTCAGATGGAAGACACAGCCCAGGCAAAGGCACTGAGGTGAGAACGCCGCAGCTTAGTCATGGAGTGGAGAGTAGATTCATGTGAGGGTAACTGAGTGTCTCAGTAGATGGGGGTTATATCATGAGAAGGACGCGAAAGCCTCAGCATGGAGCTGGTGAGCAGAGGGGGGCCATTTTTCAGCGGGGAGCTTAAGGTGCTCGGAGCTGTGGTCTAATACTGTTCGGACAGCAGCGTGTAGATTGAAACAGAGTAGAGATAAATTGAGGGGAAAGTGGCATTATCTATATAAACTGTCAGGGAGTAAAGAAATCTGGATTTTCATGTGTTTGATTCAGGGAACAGTCACTTTCCCACAGATCCTTCCCAGGGTTGTGAATAAATACTGTAGTGTACTGGTCAAGGATGTGAAATTCGGGGAATTCAGGAACATCCTTAGGCCACAAAGTGGATGCTCAGAAGTTAAATATTCACTGGAAGTGATAAGTGAGCAATGGAAATAGGAAAATATTAGTTCGTGCCACTCTCCTGCCTGTTGCCTTAAATTAACCATTCCCCTGAAAGCTGCTTTCTGCTATTTTATTTGGGTGAATTAGTCACAAATGGAATTATTTGGATTTAATGCTCTGCCGTTATCCCTGTGTAGGTTTTTGTCTCTGTTCCTTTAATTAAGAAGCATTGTTGGGTTACGTTTGCCCTCTGGTCTGAGGGTTCCAGGATGCAGCCCACTCATGAACCTTCCAGTTGAACTAAGTCTGTTCCAGATGCTTCTCAACACATTTCACACTGGGTAGACAGCGGAAGTGATCACAGGCCAACCTTTCTTGCCTCTCAGACTGAAACAAGTTCACAGTACAACAGCTTTTCAGGGCCAATGCCACACTTCCACAAACGCCCCTGTGCCTTTGGCTTTTCCCGGGTGGCTTGTTCACAATCACTCCACAGGTCCTGATCATCAGGTATGTGCCCGGCATTGCCTGAATTGATAGGAAGGTCTACAGGTGAAAATTGGTGTTTAGGATATTGAACTTCTTTGCAACTTATCTGGTAACTTGCCCATAACTTTAAAGACAAATAGAAAAGACTTTTTCAGAAACATTCAGTCAAATTGGAAATAACCATGTTCCTACCAGACAGTGAAATATATTATAAACCAGATTACTAAAGATAATATGGTATTACAATACCATGTAAGAATAAGAATTGTGATGGAGTAGAAAGATGTCTGCCTCTTTCTTTCAGAAATCATCCATCACCATAGAATGGCAAGGAGAATGAGGAATGGAAAAACAAAGTCTACTTTGGATGGAACCGAATGTCATTATAACACATTGATCCCCAATAATGAAGACAAAAAGTAGTTGGAGTTCTGATGACTGAATTAATGGGGGAGCTAGGTGAGATCTAAGTGCTTACAGTGCTGGGTATCCATGAGAAGCAAGCATATTTCCTGCCCAGAAAATCTCAGAAATTAATGAAGTGAGGTCCTGAGGAGGGATAGGTTCATATGGGGACCTTAAAAGGAGGGTTTGAAAGACTGCATCAGATCCTCCCCTGTACTCCCTATGGCCTTGAATGTGGCCCCCTCATCTTCAGAGTGAGTTTCTGGAGAGAGGCTCTAAGCACCAGGCACAGCAGAGGGTTTGGGGGTAAGAAGGAAAGAAGGACTTGAGATGATCTGAAAGCCTAGCTTCCCAAGGGCCAGATCTTGAGCACTCTGGTGGATAGTCTCCATTAATTAATATTTTTAAAAATCTGCCTGTAAAAAAGATGAGAAGGAAATAGTCCATGATTTTAGTCATGATTGGAGAACTTTTGTTCATTTATTTTTCTTTTTGCCTTTGTTTTTCATGTTTAAAGTGTGCATATTATGTTATGCTAGAAAATAGCAAAATTGGGTCCGGCATAGTGACATGTGCCTGTAATTCCAACCCTTTGTGAGGCCAAGGTGGGAGGATTTCTTGAGGCCAGGAGTTCAAGACCAGCCTGGGAAACATAGTAAGACCGCATGTCTACAAAGAAACTAAAACATTAGCCAGGCATAATGGCAGGCATCTGTAGTTCTAGCTAGTGGGAAGGCTGAGGTAGGAGAATTGCTTGAGCCTAGGAGTTCAAGGTTACGGTTGGCTGTGATAGCACCCCGGACTTCAGCCTGGGCAACAGAGTGAGACCCTGTCTCTGAAATAAACAAACATTTAAAAAGAAAATAGCAAAATAATGCGGAAAAATAATTATGAAGAAGAAAGAAGGAAAATGTCAAGGCTTAGTTGTGTAAAAATCCTTTAAAAAAAGTAATAAACTTTTTATTTGAGAGCCGTTTTATGTTCACAGCAGAGTTAGGCATAGAGATGTCCCATATGACCCTTGGCCACTCCCCACCCCACCCATATCTCCCACCATTATCAACATCCCAAACCAGACTGGTACATTTGCTAAAGCTGATGAACCTACATTGACACATTATCTCTCAGACTCCCAAGTTGACATTAGGGTTTGCTCTTGGTGTTGTACATTCTGCGAGTCTGCACAAATGTAGAGTGGCATGTCTTCAATGTGACAGTGTCATACAGACTTTTCACTGCCCCAAAAGCCTTCCGTGTTCCACCCGTTCATCTCCCCCTCCCTTCTAATCCCTGGCCACCATTGATCTGGTTCACCGTTCATCTCCCCCCTTCTAATCCCTGGCCACCATTGATCTGTGTTCCACCCGTTCATCTCCCCTCCCTTCTAATCCCTGGCCACCATTGATCTGTGTTCCACCTGTTCATCTCCCCTCCCTTCTAATCCCTGGCCACCATTGATCTGTGTTCCACCTGTTCATCTCCCCTCCCTTCTAATCCCTGGCCACCATTGATCTGTGTTCCACCTGTTCATCTCCCTTCCCTTCTAATCCCTGGCCACCATTGATCTGTGTTCCACCTGTTCATCTCCCCTCCCTTCTAATCCCTGGCCACCATTGATCTTTTTACTGTCTTCATACTTTCACCTTTTCCATAATGTCATACAGTCGAAATCATACCGTATAAAGTGTTTCACATTGGCTTCTTACATTTAGTAATATGCATTTAAGGTTCCAGCATGTCCTTTCATGGCTTGATAACTAATTTCTATTTACTGATGGATAATAATCTGTTGTCTGGATGTACCACAGTTTACCTGTTCACCTACTGAAGGACATCTTGGTTGCTTCCAAGTTTTGGAAATTATGAATAAAGCTGGATTTTGTATGCTACTGTTTTCTCTCCTTTCTTGGCATATCAATTATACTTCTTTTTACTTTTTAAAATGGTTGCCATAGGGCGGATCACGAGGTCAGGAGATGGAGACCTTCCTGGCTAACACGGTGAAACCCCGTCTCTACTAAAAATACAAAAAATCAGCCAGGTGTGGTGGCGGCGCCTGTAGTCCCAGCTACTCGGGAGGCTGAGGCAGGAGAATGGCGTGAACCCGGGAGGCAGAGCCGAGATTGCGCCACTGCACTCCAGCCTGGGCGACAGAGTGAGACTCTGTCTCAAAATAAATAATAAAATAAAATAAAATAAAGGTTGCCATAGAGTTTGCAATATACACTTACAACTAATCCAAGTCCATTTTCAAATAACATTAAACTGCTTTATCAGTAGTGCAAATATCTTACGATAACAAAATATTCCCAATTCTTCCTCCCATCTTTGGAATCAACACTTTCATTTATTTCACTTATACATAAGCATATATATGCATATGTAATTAAGTACATGTTTGCTATTAATTTGAAGAAGATATTGTGTGTTTGATCAATTAAGAATAAGAAAACAAAAGTTTTTCTTTTACCTCCGCTTAAGTATTTTTTTTTTCCTCTCGGTATTTTTTTAAAGATTTTTTTTCTTTATCTTTGATTTTCTTAATTGTGTAAATATGATATGCCCAGAGGTAGTTTTCCTGGCATCCTGCTTAGTGTTCTCTGAGCTTCATGGATCTGTGGTTTGGTGTTTGACATTAATTTGGGGAAATTCTCAGTCATTATTGTTTTGAATACTACTATTTCTTCTGTTCCTTTCCCTCTTGATTCTCTTTCTAATATTCCCATTATATGTGTGTTGTACCTTTCATAGTTGTCCTATAGTTCTTGGATATTCTTTTTTTTTTTTTCCTCAATCTTTGTTCTTTGCTTTTTCATTTCAGAAGTTTGTTGCCATACCCTCAAGCTGAGATTTTTCCTCAGTTGTGTTCACTCTCCTAATAAGTTGGTCAAAAGGACTATTCAAGTCTGTTATAATGTTTTTGATCTCTAGCATTTCTTTTGCTTTCTTAGAATTTTCATCTGCTTACATTTATCTATTCTTTCATGTCGTTTTTTCATTAAAGCCTTTAGCTTATTCATTTTCAAAAATTCTCTTGTCGAATAATTCCAATATTTCTGCCATATCTGACTCTTATTCTGATGCTTGTTCAATCTTTTCACACTGTGTTTTTTGCCTTTTAGCATGTCAGGTAAGTTTTTGCTGAAAGACGGATGTCAGGATGTTCTGGGTGAAAAGAGCTGTGGTGAATGGCTCTTCAGTGACGTCGTGCTAAATGGCTGGGGAGTGATACGTTGGGACGTTTTGTCCTCTCCACAGCTCATGTTGAAATAGGACCCCCGGTGTTGGAGGTGGGACCTGGTGGGAGGTTTGGGTCATGGGGGTGGATCCCTCATGCATGGCGTGGTGCCCTCCCCTTGGTGATGAGTGAGTGCTTGCTCTGTTAGTTCACACAAGAGCCGGTTGTTCAGAGTCTGGCACCTCCTTCCCTTTTCTTGCTCCCTCCATCACCATGTGACATGCTGGCTCCTCTTTGCCTTCTGCCATGATGGTAAACTTCCTGAGGCCCTCGTCAGAAGCAGATGCCCACACTTTGCTTCGTGTATGTCCTGCAGAACCGTGAGCCAAATTAACCTCTTTTCTTCTAAAATTACCCAGCATTGGTTACGTCTTTATAGTAATGCCAAGTGGACTCGCTCAGAGAGAACGGAGTTGTTCTGCTGGAGTCCTGTGAGTGGGTCTGAGTCTTCTAGAGAGCCCGTGGCCCTGGACTGTGAACCTCACTCAGTGCTTCTCTGTTTGTTTTCTTGTGGGACAGGATAACTGGAGTGGGCTGGAGTTGGGTATTTTCCTTCCCCAGGTACGTTAGGCTCTGCTAAAGCCCCAGCAAGTTAGGGTCTGGTTAGTGTCTCCGGAGGGCAAACCTTGTTAAGAACATAATTCTGTTTTGTTTTGTTTTTTTTCTTGAGACAGAGTCTTGCTCTGTCGCCCAGGCTGGAGTGAGTGGCACAATCTTGGCTCACTGCAAGCTCCGCCTCCCGGGTTCCCGCCATTCTCCTGCCTCAGCCTCCCGAGTAGCTGGAACTACAGGCGCCGCCACCTCGCCTGGCTAATTTTTGTATTTTTAGTAGAGACGGAGTTTCACCATGTTAGCCAGGATGGTCTCGATCTCCTGACCTCGTGATCCTCCCTCCTCAGCCTCCCAAAGTGCTGGGATGACAGGTGTGAGCCACTGCACCCGGCCTTCTTTTTTTATTTTTATTTTTTCCTTTTCCTATGGTACTGATCTCTGGTGTCTTTTCAAAATGGTTCTTTTCCTCCTTTTTCTGTTGGAAGCATAAGGGGATTTTTCTCTGATACTCACTGTGAGGCCCTGCTAGAGCTCCTGGAAGAAGAACTCCCAAAAGCACATCCCTCCCTGCTCCCCATCATGGGCACCTCTGGAGTTTTAAACTCACGAAGAGTTGTTCATTCTACACCCCCAGCAGTATGTCGATACAATTGGGGTTTTCACCCGGAACTGATTACCATGGAGGTTTCTGTTCCAGGAAGTTGTAATTCTCTGTATGTGCCCCTCAGTCTCTCTAGTCTTGGGGGCAGCAGCTTGTCCTGTGACCTTATTTCTTTGGCAGAACTAAGAATTTTTTTCAACACTGTATATTGACAAATTATAGTTATGTATATTTGTAAGATACAAGTGGTATTGTGAATTTTTAATACGATATGTAATAATTAAGCTAATATATCTAGCACCTCAAATGTGTAAGAAGAAGGGTTGATTTTTTTTTTTAGTTTAGCTTTCTACTTGTTGTTAGGATGGAATGGTGACTTCTAAGCTTCTTACATACCAGATCAGAAACCAGAAGTCTCATCCTGTTTTTACAAACAGGACTTTGAACATTGTTATTTTTCTGAGCACAATGCCAGCAGCAGTGACGGCGTGGCAATCCAGCGGTCTCTAGTCTTGTAAGAGCTTATAAAGAAAGACTTCACGTCTTACCTGATGAAATCCCCTTGACTGTTTTATAGTTAAGTAAAACCCCAATTTCTGGCAAGATCCGAAACTTGGTTTTTCTTT